GGATGTCCAAGTAGAACACAGCCATCACCAATATCACGAACACCTCAGTGAACCCAAAAACACACTTGGTGGAAGCCATACCTGGGAGACAGTCCAAAAGAAGAACCCTTTGCAAATGAGGATATACGGACTGGGGTGGGTTTTCCGTAAATGCACTTCGTGTTCATTTTCTGGGTCAAAACACAAACAAGCACTTTGGGTGTATTTTGTTGTTCCATCGATAGGATAGGGCAAGAAGTTGCCTTCGGAGCATTGAAGTAGATCAGCCGCCGAACAGTGCATTGGAGCTCAGCTGGGGTCATGGCAGCGAAGCACACACACAAACGCGACCAGAGTGCTTGATGCTCGTGGAAACGAGGCCCACCCACGGATACTGGACAAATGGTTGATAGTTTTACGGCTGTATTACTTAACCACGTTGGGTGATTGCAACCCACACAGCTGCCACAGTTTCAAGTTTCATGAACCTTCCAAGTCCAAAGCCAACCCATCGACCAGGCTCGCCTCCTACATGTCCACGGGCAACGAAGCAATGAAGTCCTTGAGGCATTTCCAGCCAAGGTGTACCTGGAACAGGTGCAGTAGTGGTGAGCACAAAGACCATGATCAGTGCTGGCAGCTCAAGTCTTGTGGCTGCTTCGTAGCCCGCATTCTTTTTTGCAGCTCAAACCCCTGTTGGTGGAATCCCACATTATGTGCCACCCACCCGTGTGAAAGGCACACAGGATCCAAACTAGTCTCGCGCATGCCAAATTGGCATGCCATGCGCCCCAGTCACAAATCACCGCCTGCAGGCAGCGCTTGGCACGGTCATCCACTCGATCAGACCTGAGGACCGATCCAGCGCAGGGCATGATGTTCCAAAACAGGTTGATTGTGATCAGTGTGACTTGAAATTTGAGTGGAGGTTGAGAACAAATAAGTCAACTAATGTAGAGTGCAGTCAGAAGACACGCTGCTGAATTGTCACAAACTCCGTGGCCCACTCCTCCGCCAAAGCCAAGAAAGCGTCTGGGCCAGCCTTCTCCTCGATCACATTGAACCGTGGGCTACAGAACTTCCAGAAGGGGTCCTGGACAAGTGACAAGCGACCAAGGCCCACCAAACATGACAAACGCACCAAACATGACAAACGCAACCGGAGACATGACAAACATGACAAAACATGACAAACAAACATGACAAACTTTGGTCCTCCAGGTGGCTGGCAGGGCTCAACACGCTCTTGACGTGTGAGGCAAAGGCTGAACGGAGAGCGAGCCACCACTGGGCTTTGACTGGGTTCTTGGGCTGGTACCGCCGGGCAAAGGATGCTGTGGGATTCGGTTTCTCATCTGCCTTCTCATGTTCCTTCTTGTTCTTCTTGCACGGTGGCTTCTCAGCCGTTGCGCTTGAGTCCTTCGCCTGTCTCTTGGTCTTGCCTTTGCCCATCTCGCCCCCGTACTTCTCTAACAAGTACTGCAGCTGCGCCCGCTCTTCATCCGCCTTGTCTTCATGGCCTCTCTTGGCCTTCCGCTTGCAAGCGGCCTTAGGTGTCATTTTCCCACCCTCCTCCTTCTCCACATCAGCATCAGTCTCGCGAGCCCCATTCTTCTTGTCTTCGACTCGCTTCGGCTTTCCTTTGGCCTTGGCCTTTGCTTCCCCTCGTGGGGCTCTGGGCTTTCCAGCAGACTTTCCAGCCGGGCGCTTCAAGGGAGGCATGTCATCATCAGGCCCATCCTCTCCATCCTGTCCTTGCTTTGGTTTTCTTCCCCCAGACATCTTGGTACGCATTTCATCTTGCATGGCCCGGTCCATGTCTACCTGGCCAGGATCAATGAAGACAATAGACTAGACAGAAAATTCTTCACAAAGAACATGCATCAACAAAAGACAGGGGCGTACCTCGTCAAGCAAGAGTTCTTGAGCGGAAGCAATGCGCTTGTCACCAGCGCAGGAACGAGGCGGCGCTTCTGGCTCAACCTTGGCCAGACTCGAAGAGACTTGGTGGCGTCCAGTCTCATCTCCTGTCGATGAAATGGCGGGGATCTCCACCACCTGCGGATCTGGAGACGCTTCCTGGACAGCCTTCGGGTCTGACTGACATTCAACGCTGGGTGCTTTTGCAACCTGTCGAGTTTCAGCGCTGCCATCTGCTGGTGCCTCCTCTACCTCGCCGAGCACAAGCGTCTTTGCAGTGAGGAGCTTGTCCTCGCCTGAAGCTTCAGGTTCACCTCAGCTCCATAGAGGAGAACTGGAAGTGGAGCATCGTTGAACATTCGGCTTTTACAGAAATGGGCACTGGCCTTTGAGAGTCTCCGCCAAACCAGCGCCATCCCAAGGCAAAGTCTCTATGTTCTCGAAGACATCCTGTCCCCCTGCACACTGCACAAATGCCCCCTCAGCCTTTCACCTACACTCCAAAACCACACAAAACAAACAGGGCGGGGCCACCCCAAGAAGCTGGCACAGTCTTCTTAGCCACTGCCACCTGACGCTCCACCATCTGCAACCTCAGACAGACAAGAATGCATGCGCGCATCTCCAGTTCCTGCTCAAATGTCAAAACCTCAGTCCTACCGACTGTGGATTCTGCCGGGGAGCTCCAGCTCCGCAAGGCGCATGGCAATCCATTCATCAGAGTCAGGAGGTGGCGCATCAGCCAAACGTTTACCTCCAAAACCTGGAGACAAGCATTTGGCCAAAGGGCTTGACGCGCTTTTGAGGTCACCCCCCAGAGTCCAGGCCAAGAGTTCGCGCTCTTCGCCCGCGTGTGACGGAGGTGGTGTGGTTTCCCCGCTGCTATACCCGTCAGCTTCCACAAGAGCTTCGTTGGAACCATCATCCTCCACCTGAGAGTCCTGAGGAGAGTCCTGAGCGAGCTGTTCAGACTTGTCAGGCGCACTGCTAGTGCAAGACTCAGAGCTCTTCTTCTTTGAGATCTTTGAGGCCAGTGTGACCCAAGTACGTCGTCGAACAACACCTTCAAATCTGGGTCCTTATATGCCAACGCGTGAAGCTCATACGAGCGGATGGAAGCATGTGGAAACACAATTGTTCAATCTTGACTTGTCCAAGAGACCCTGCGAGTATGTCCATCGTGACGGCGGATGAGTAAAGAGAAAAAGGACTTGATTGCATGAGCATCGCAGTGAATCTGTGCTGGTTTGCAGCTCAGCCGCAGCTTGCTGCGAAGCTTTCTTACCTGGAGGGACCAAATTCAACCAGAGCAGGTCACACCACCACATTGAAGAAAGCGCAACCATCGACACGCGCAACCCCACGCCTCAACCTTCAACCATCCAACAGGCAGGGTCTTCGGTGTGGTCTGCTTGGGTACCCAAAGTGAAGCCGCATTATTCAAAAGGTCCACATTCACCTTCAGCGCCTGCATACTGATGATGCCCACGAGTTTGGTTTCCGGCCAAAACACAAGCGCTCTTTCATCTTGAATTTGTTTCCGCAGGTCATGGTTTCTTTCCCAAGCTTCTGCCAAACCTTCCAAAGGGTTTGGAACAGGCTCGGAAGCATTCAAAGCTGGCATTGCTGCTGTAAACCAACCCCCTGAAGCCAAAAACACTTCAGATTCAACACCACAGCGTGACCAAACAAAAGTCTCAAGAACTGGTTAAAGCACGCATTGAACTCCCGCACTGGCGCACAGAAGTATGAAGCTCACCAAGAAAGCCTCAGCAGCTACTAACGAGTTTACACAGTCACCAACCACTGGAGCCACAAACAGGCAGCTCAGCACCTGGCACGATCACGTCCAACGCAGGCAACGGCCTAGTCAGGAAAGCCTTCAGTGATTGTTTAAACGTTTTTGCACACCAAACTACTAGGTGTGGAGTTTCAAAGCCGAAGGGGTGCATGAATGTTCGCCTGGTCTTGCGGAACATAAGCACTGTAGAGGAAAGCACCTGCGAAGGGCCAAATAAGAAAGGCATGCAGTTGCATGCGTGTAGTTTGCTGTGAGTGATCTTTTTGAAACATGTTCTGAATGTCGCAGGTTCATGTAGGTTCCGAGTTGTTTTGCCATCTACATTCGACGCGTTCACTTCTTTGGTGCAGGACTGGCTTCATGGGCTGGTGCCTCACGCTCCTGCTGACCTGGGAGATTCGGAGATGCGAGGGCTAGCGAGGAGGGCATGCACAGAGTTGGCTCACTAGTTGTTTAAAGGTAAGGGTGTGGCATTCATCCTGCCACTTGTTCAAGTACGTCACCAGCTGGTGAACATGGCCCTTATGGTCGAAATTGTGTTTTATGTCCTCGGCCTGCTCCTTTGTCAGAATCTCCTCGAGCTACACGTCTCACCAGCACCCACAAGTCACACATGAAAAAGCAGAGACAGTGGCTCGGGGAGTGGGGCACACTGTTGCCAGCAAGGATCCAAGGGCTCACTGCGAGGCCACAGAACGGACTGAACTTCCATAAAGAACTTGTCCGGTAGTGAGGCCAAGCCTGGACCCACAAATGGAAATAAGGACAGAACGCATTGTGCTTTATGGCTTGTCCACGAGAGAGAGTGAGAGAGAGAGAGAGATGCGGAGAAGAAACTCAAGAAAGTGAGAAAGCACTCAAATCTGAGGATCTAGCATGTGTCAGCAAATACTTCTTTGACAGCAGGATCGGAGGTGGCTTTCCCCATTTCAACTTTCTACACTGCTTGAAAGCCAAAATCTCATGGCACATGTTTGCAAATGCTGTGCACTGCACACTGCACACACACACACTGGCAATTCAATGGACTGTAAAAGCCTCAGCACAGCAAGGTGGGGGGCACCTTTGGCGCTTGACAGGTGAAGTGAATGCCAAGACTCTGGCTTGAAGGTTTGAACCAAAAACGCCTATGTGCGGGCAAGAACGCCTAAGTCCACCAAAAGGCACTTCTTCTCAAACAGGCAGTTATTTCTGCCCAATTCGAACTTGTAGGTATACATATATTTATTTATGGTATCGTAATACTCGTCACCAGCTGATCAGCACCAAGGCCCCCGGAGCTACATGAAACCGCCTCCAGGTCACCCATGTGAACGAGTTGGATTTCGTCAGTTGGTTGCAGGCGGAGGGAGGGGGCATTGGCACATCATGGCACCCAGCAAAAAAAAAGTATAAGCTGCGAACGGGGCGCTCCGCGCTCCTGGCAGCGCTACGAACGTAACAATAAGCCGACCGAACGTAGCAAGGATCCGTGACTTCGAACCGATGTTTCTTCCCATGGGCTGCAGCTTGGACATGTTGGGACGATAGCCTTGTAGCCTTTTTGTTGGAGCGGCAGTCAGGTCGTCGTTGTCTGACATTTGCGCCCAACCCTTCACACACGTTTCGGCCCCCAACCCTTCGGTTTGCGATCCGAACGTCTTCGGTTGGACAGAGACGTTCCATGTCGTCGCAGGTCAAAGACTTCGTGCCAGAGTTCCGACGGAACTTGCGTGTCCGCGTGCTGAGACCGGTCCTTCAGGTGACCGGTCTTCCGATTGACATGGGTTCACCTGGGTTGATGGGGATATGAAGGTGGTGAAGTTGTCCCAGAAATGTTCAACAATTGGTCGCAAGTCGCAATCAAACACTTTGGTAGAATCAGAGTATAGGACTTAAGTGACTTCAGGAGAACCAAGGAGATATGGATGATATATGATGATATGATGTACCCTGCAGAGTGCAGATGTTCAGCCAGGAGACCAAAGTCTGCATGAACAAATGTGTTCATCACCTTTTATGCCAGTTCTTAGCTCACCCCCATCTCACCCCGAACCCCGGTGGTGCTCCCACCCTTCCCAGGAGAACGCGAAGCAGCTACGAAGCGACCGACGTCTACGTCACATTGCTCACGAGCACGAGCGGCCGCAGTCGGTCCGACACCGGCGAGTCTGGTTGTCCGGGCCACGCTACGAGGACAAACGGCTCATCGGAGCACCCTTGAACGTGGGCGACGCACTCCTGTACGACTCCAGGAGAGGACGGGGTTCACCGAGTCTGTGGAAGGAGCCTTCAGTCAAGGCGGAGCACCCGTCGGGGAGATGTACAGAACCTGTTTTGCAAATAATTAGCGCAAATATATTAATGTTCTATTCGTGAGCTTGCGTTACTCGTACCTTTCTGGTTCAACCGTGCCATGCACCACGATTCTGATGCGACCAGTCTTGTGTCTACCCGATCGTGGGTGTTCGGAAACATGGCCAGGACGGTGCATTGGGGTAGCAGCAACCGCGAGGAGGAGAGCAGGTACGTCCTTTACTTGAATTTCAAGAAGTTGCTTGGCACTTCACCAGTCAAAGGTGGACAAGAAAGGACGATCCAGAACACATGTCGAACCTTCCATGTTGTCCAAGCCAACTGTATGCGGGTTAGCTACTGTTGCATGAACGTACATACGCAGATTCTGAAATTTTGAATTCAGAGATGCTTCTGGGAAGGGGAATTGGCTCAACGTTTGCAGTCTGTCACAATATTGTGTTACGTCTGCAGTACTCCATTTGGTAATCAACGACATCAAAACCTTTTGCAAGAGGCGAAGTGCAATCACATCCTGCTGCTGTTGGATGCTTGACACGAAGAAACCCAAGCAGCACCTCCACCTTGACAATACCAAACAATACCCTATGTTATCCAACGTTCGGAACTGGGCAATATACAACCTGGATGACTATCATGTTCCGCCGCAAAGGCGGGCATGTTACACTTCCACATGTTCCGAGGGCTGAATGTGGAAAAACTGACGCAAACAAAACAGGGAGGCGCTTCGATGAACGAAAGCTGTCTTCATTGGTCTTGGACGTTCGAATCGAATTGCGACGATCAGCGGACCTCTTTGAGCAGGTCATGGCTGGACACGCTGACACCCGGTAAGGAGCTGCTGAAGATTATTGAACTCGTCCTCCCCCCAAAACTCCACCCAGCGGATCTACCAGCCAAGGCAACTTGGACGTTACACCATATTCACTTGCCTATCACCTACCCATCTCACTTGCTGATCAGCTACCCATCACCTACCTGAGGCGTGACTTCGTTGGTACTTCGCCAGATGAGCTGGCTATTAGCAGCGCAGACCAGCGTTGCCGGTGGTGGCGGCATCGCTTCCAGGAAAAGCCTCTTGGCTCAAGCAGTTGCCAACTCTGCTTGACTCTCTGCTTGTTGGGGTCGCCACATTTCTCTTTAAATATAAGTTGGAAAAATTGAAAGAAAACTATTAACTTTCAACTAGCCCTACTACATGGCACACTTTGTGGGCAACTAAGAGGCTCACGATTTTGCTGACTTTTAGTATGACAGGGAGGTCATTCCTCGTTGAGGGCTCCGGGCCAGGCCCATGTCTCTTGCAGACTGCCCTGAGAGGTTGGAGCGAGAGCTGCACTACATGGAGGATCCTCGCCGTCGTCGTTGAGACCGGAGCGGCGTTGAGACGCAAATGAGAAAATCCGACCAGCGGAGTTGGGGGAAGAACTGGGCGGGAGCTGCTTGCTCCGATGAGAGCAACCAGCTACAAGCGTAACCTGATACAGTGAACCCAGGTGTAAGTAACATCCCGAGAGAGCACAGAACATCCACACACTGGATGGAACCAAACCTCCTGCAGTTGCACGGAGTCATTTGCCTCTCTTCCGTGCGACCTTGACTGCGGGTTGACCAGCGCTCCGAGCTGAAAGAAATCACCCTTCTCAGTGGGCAGTGGGAGGACGTTTTTGGGGTTAGACCAAAGGAAATCATCGGACATGAGCAGAATGCAACAGATTCTCTGATGCAACAGAATGCAGCAGAATGCCGCAGCCATGTGAGCTTCGAAATCTCCAACCAGTTTGGTCCACGATTCCACGATCACCACTCGAGGGCAAGAGCCTGCCGAGATCAGTTGTTTTGTAGAAGTTCCGATCAGACAGAGAACCTCTCACATGTGAAGCATCGGAGGTATATACCTTGAAGCGTTCACATTGCATCTTATTGCCACCACTTGGAAAGCGGACAGAATACATCCCGACGAGGACAAGTGTGATCCCCTTCAACAAGGTTCTTTCAACGATATTTGGGGGGTTGCCAATTCAGGCGGATTTCCACCCTATCTTTGGCTCCCCAAATAGGTTTGTCAGGTCGTTGTCGCTTCCCGATTGCGAGTCGTTGAGGCTGGGTCACAAGACCCAAGCCCTCGAACCTTAAACTGACCAATCCATGATCAGTGCCCCCCCCCCCCCAAAGGCCAAGCCAATCAAGGACTCCCTTTCTTACGTCCCGTAGACTCTATATACACACCCTCCCTATGGGGGTATAGCCATCACTGGTCCGACCAACGGTGGCGACCGCCCCGCGCTTGGTGCCTCCGAGGCTCCGTGGTGCCCTTGGGGCCGATCCCAGCGGTGGCGCCCCGAGGAGTCGGACCCAGGGCCAGTCGGTGCCCTTCGGGGGACAACGAGAGGCGGAGCGCGCTGAGGCTTCACCGGTGCGTAAGTTTGTTATGATGTTATGTAATATGCATGTGTGTGTTTGATGGGTGGTAGAAGTGGATGTGGAGGAACATAGCACGAAGTCCTGCAGGGTTTGGCGTGGCTTTCTAGACTTCGTCGCTCGCTAGCTTGGCCCAAGTCAAGCTTGTAGTAGAACCGGATCAGAACATGCAATTAAGAATAAGTTCCGGTCAAACCTTTTCAGCACCAAACATGAAGAAGGTACAGCCTAGAGAGAGAGAGAGAGGGATAGAAAGAGACATAGAGTGACAAGAATTGCTTACCAGGGCTTATCATGCATTTGCACAGGCCGCAAGTCACAGACTCTCGATATACGAAACTCGGAGTTTTTCGTGTGCAAACCTGGGTGCTCATGAATCCACCGGTCGAGCCCTGCGAGGCTGTTCTTTCGGTCGAGGCAGGTTCTTTCGGGACTCGGTCGACTGTATCTGACAGCGGTGGTGCCATGTCGGCATGGCAATCAGTGCATGTGCTTCTCCAGTGTGTCCTTGCTGTGGGGACGCCCCACGTCGCCCAGGTACCTCGCCCGCAGGGCCCGTATCCTCCCCATCCCCCTTTTCGATCAAAGCAACCCCCCTTTTTCACACTCTTGGGCAAGACAGTGTTCAAGCTGTATGCCTACCAATAGGAGCAGATAAAGTCTTGGCAGTGCGTTTGAAAATCAGAGGGCACTATTTCTTCGTTTCTTGGGTCCATTGCTTCATCATCCTGAACTCTCAATGTCAGTTTTGGACATTGTGAACCTGACTGTCCAATATTCTCGCCACTGACTTCGCTGAACACGTCCAGGATTCTCAACATTGGATGAGAGAGGCACGTGAAAAGCTCCAGGGTCCACACAACGCCTCCATTGGATGCGGCAGCGCTACTGGTTTCAGTGCATGGGGTGGCAGCCAGGATCCCAACGAGGTTGTGAGGGAGGGCGGCCGGGATGGAGTGAGTGTCAGTGGTCGAAACATGGTCATATTTTATGTATTTTTATGTCAATTGTACACATAGTGGATCACACATAGATGGCATACGGTCAACACCTATTAAAAGACCATCTAAGACGCATAAGATATGTAAGACTTAGACCATTGCCTCCAACCTAATTAGACGATTGGCCCAACAAAAACCTATAGGAGGCGATCGCACCCGAGTAACGCCCGACCGGTGCCGTGTGGCGGTTCCGTTCGTGGACGACACATCGGTCCAAGGGATGGGAGGGGACCGACACGCCTCAGGGCTTTGAAGGGTGGGTCTATTTGATGGTTATGGACTACAAGTTGGTCAACCGCTCTTTCTACCTTCAAGTTCCTCAAGACCTGGGACAACGTGCGGCGCCGGTGCTCATTGGCTTGCATGCGCAGGGCTTTCAAGCTGACAGCTCCTGGGGAAGCAGATGTATAGCAGTTGAAGTGGATAGTTCAAGTTGTTTACGTTAGATAGATAAATCATGATAAATAAATGGACAAGTTGTGGTTGTTTGCTCTAGCAATTTTGGAAGTTACAACGTTTTGTAATCAGACGCAGGTTGTTTTTGAGAAAACCTAACCCTATGAACACATGTCATAGGTAACACGCTGGTGGCAGCAATGGAAGGCAGCGAAACGAGAAACTTCTCTCTATACGACATATGCATATACATATGCACATACATACATACATGCATGCATACGTACATACATACATACATAGACATACATACATAGACATACATACATAGA